GGTCCAGATGTTAATACCTATAGTGTATTATAATTTTCGGATGTATTTGATATTGTATATATATTGGAGTTCTGGTTTCCAAAATGGCTAGAAAAATCTCTGTAAGTGAATATGGCAGGAGGAAGAAAGTGTTTTATTTGCAGATATTATTAAAATACTGTATTGTGTGGCCTGAATCCCAGCAATTATGGGTGGTTCACAAATTAAAAACACAGGAAAAAAACATTCCAGTAAGACAAAGGAATGTGTGAAATCTGGGCAGAAATAAAGATATTCAGAAGGAACTTTACCTACCTACCTCAAAGCCTGGATGAAAAGCCAGGTCTTTAAGATCATCCAATTTTTAAATTTATTTTTATTTTCTTTTTCTTTTTATAAAAAATGCCACCCATCTTCCCTAGAAGATGACTCTTGGTGTCTTACAAGTTATAAAACAAGTGAAAATAATTAGATCCTTAAAACTAAAATATCATTAAAAAATACTAAAACTGAAACTAAAAGAGGCAAGAGATGGACAGGACAGAGATGAGGTCATCTTACCCAGTCAGCCACCTTCAATGATAAGCGCCCCCTAGGGGCCCAAGCCAACTTGCAAAGCCAAATTTTAATATTCTTCTGGAAGGCCAAAAGGAGGAGATAGTTCTCACCTCTGGTGGTAGACTGTTCCACAGGGGTGAGACCATAGTGGAAAAGGCTCTTCTTGACCCCACCTGCTTCAGTTCCTGAGAAGATGGCATCCGTAGCAGGCCTCTTCCACTGACACAAGTGGGACGGGCTTGTCCCATTTGGGGAAAGATGAATCCTCAGATAAAATGCCAGTAGGGTCAGAGCTACCCAGATCACAGGGGGAACCTCATTCTAGGGTCCTGACAGATGGCATTGCTTAATCAAAGAAACCTGGAGTGTGCCAGCCCTCTTGGATTGAATGGGCCCAGCAGAAGTTACAGATAGTAGGGTCTCAAATAATAAGGCCCTATGCCAGGGGTAGGCAACCTTGGCTCTTTTATGACTTATGGACTTCAACTCCCAGAATTCCTGAGCCAGCTTGAAGTCCACAAGTCATAAAAGAGCCAAGGTTGCCTACCCCTGCCCTATGCTATATACAGCTTTATTATTAACAGCCAGCATTTTGGCTGTAGATATGGTCTTCCTTAAATATAATACCTCTTAGGTTGATGCTATTATAATGCACGATTTCTGAAAAAAAAATGGAAATCATTTATTGTTGTGAGGGGAAAGTGGTTTTTCTTTGTCAAAAGATCAATAAAAGTCTATAAATATTTAGCTCTTCAGGAGATAATCCCACATGCTCTTTTAAGTACACATAATCCTCGACTTATGACTACAATTGAGCCCAAAATTTGTATTGTTAAGTAAGTCAGTTGTTAAGTGAGTTTTCTCCCATCTTATGACTTTTCTTGCAGCATGTTACTAAGTGAATCACTGCAGTTGTTAAGTTAGTAACACGGTTGCTAAGTGACTTTGCTTGTCAGAAGGTCACAGATGGTGATCACATGACCGCAGGACTATGCAACCATCATAAATCTGAGCCAGTTGCCAACTGTCCAAATTTTGATCATGTTACAGTGGGGATGCTGCAACAGTTGCAAGTGTGAAAAATGGTCATAAGTCGCTTTTCAATGCTGTTGTAACTTTGAATGGTCACAAAACAAATGGTTGTAAGTTGAGGACACTTCAATGAGCATCTTAAACAAATTTCACAGATAAATAAACAAAATTTCGGGATCTCTCTCTCTCTCTCTCTCTCTCTCTCTCTCTCTCTCTCTCTCTCTCTCTCTCTCTCTCTCTCTCTCTCTCTCTCTCTCTCTCTCTCTCTGGAGAGCAATTGATAGAATCTGCATTTAAGCCTATATTGGGGAAAGCTATGGCTCAAAAATTATAGAGCTCAAATTGAGAAAAGAAGAAAGAAGTTATCAGAAGAATCCTGGCTTTTCCATCAGGTGTTTTGGCAACAATTTAAATAATAATTATGTTGCCTTTAGGATTTATTCGTAAGCTTCAGATGCTTACAATAAATGTTTAATTCTTCAAAATAAGCTTTTTGTATCATGTGATGTCTTAATGTTAAGGTGGTACACAACAAGTTGAAAGAAACAGGCATAATTTTACAATGTGTGTGTGATAGTATGGTGGTGAGAAAGCCAGAGCTGATTGTCTGCTAAAGATTTTAGTAATTCAACAGTGCCACCATGAGGCAAAACTTACACTGACACATTTTTTTATTCAAAAATATTTGATATTGTAGTTTGATATCACAATTACTTGTTTTTAATTTTTTTGTCTATGAACAAAAGAGAACACTATTGCTGGCTATATATTTGGCATATTCCATATGTAAGTTTAAACAAAATGCTGCTTTACTAAAATAAATGTTCTATATGTTATTTCACACATTTTTATTGAATGTAAAAATATTACAATTGATTTTAAAAATAATTTGTTTAATGTGATGTAACTATATTAGTATTATATAAACTAACTACTTTAAAAAATCTTGAGTTATGAAGGTGGAGGAAAAATTAAATTATCTAAAAAAACAAAATGGAGACAGGAAAAATAGGAAAAAATGAAAACCTCTAAATTAAGCATAGAAATCAATTTAATAAAGTGAAACACCTAAATACTTAAATTATATCTATTTCTGTATAGATAGAAATACATTTATATAGTGATACATCAATTTTCCAGTTTATTTATATAGATAGTATAAGTCGAGTCATAGTATAATATATAAATGCTACTCCACATACATAAAGAATATACATAATATTATTTGCACACACAAATTAGAGATTACATAATTTTATTCAATTTCTCTATATTGTGACTTTATTTTAAACAAAAAATTGAATCTAGATTATATAGAAGCATATGGTCCAGTCTTTCCTATCTGAAAGTACAGAGTTCATACAAAGGGTAGTCTTTATAGACTGGGATACTGTACAACTGAACTTCTATGAGTACATAATAACAAGGGTCAATTGTCAATTGATTTGAGGCATATAATTTAATTAATATTAATATTTGCTTCTCTAATTTTGATCATAAGACACACATCTAATATTCCATAAAACCTGAAGACATTTTTTGGGTAATATAGGATATTTCAATTCTGTAATTCAAATTTGTTGTATGTTGTCCAAATTTATTTTTGATTTTTTTAAAAATGGTAATAGTAGATTGCCATTTAATACCTAATGGTCTTTCAGAGAGTGCAAGGGCATCAGGGCCAAACAGTATAAATAAAACCTTTAACTCTTGTCAATTGCCATTCTGCTTTTCTAAATAAATTATGCTTTTGTACAATTTCTTGCATGGTTGAATAAAATAATTTTAAAATTATATGCTGTATTCAAACTTGCTATTGTCTGAAAGTAGCCTCGTAATTGAAGTGTGTAATTGAAGTGCGTAATTGTACGTTGCAATTCTCACTGCTTTCAGTGAAATTTACTTTAAACACATCTTAATTATATTAAGTTGTTTAGTGGAAAGGCGATGATTTTTAATAATAATAGCCTCCTCAAAGTTTTAAACTGGAATTGGATTTATGAATGCTTAGAAACTTGGACATTTAGTAGTGAAAAAACTTGATTGCAATACTTTTTATTTATTAATCTCGTTAAGTGCTAGGATTAATACAGGGACCAAATAATGTGGTACCCATGGAAGGAAGTGCTTTTTCCATGTACAGTATGAACTGAAATTATATTGTAGCTTCCTATAATACAGATATTCAGATTGCTCTAAAAAGGAGGCAGCAAAAATAGTTTCATTCTTATAAGCAAAATGCTACTCATAGGAACTCAATAATGATTTAGCAAGAATTTACAAATAACATTGAGGACTTATGAACTCTATTTTGTTCCAATTAGCTGTAAAAAGAGAAAGTTAAATGTGAATAAACTTTTTTCCTATCTCACTGAAATTAAGTCTCTAGAGCAGGGGTGTCAAACTGCCAGCCCGCGGGCCGGACACGTCACCAGGAAACTGCGCCCACACCATTGCCGGCAATGGGGAAAAAGCTCCGATACGTTGCGCGACATTACGTGACATCGCGAGTTTGACATGTCTGCTCTAGAGAAACTCTTATTTACTGGATGTGTCTAAATCAACTGCTTTTCATTATGCGTTCATTGCTTTATTACAGGGAGGAGCTTAAGAGATGGTTTATCCAACAAGAAATGGACCTCTTCCGTTACAGATTTAATCAGCTATCTCATTCTTTAGTTGAAAGGTTTCTTCAGTATGCTAACTTGGGGTATGATATTGTAAGTACTGTTATATTTGAATAACTCAATAATTGGTTTTAATTTGAAAACTCTTACAAAAAGTATATATGGGGGTGCAAAAATAATTGCTGGTGTTGGGCTCCTCTTCATTTTGATCTGCTAGTTTTTTACTTTAATCAATTATGAATTTGCTGCATCATACATGCTGCAGTTATTGTTAGACTGTACATTCCTTTCAGCCCTATAAAGGAACACAATGGAAAACCACTTCTGAAAAATACAGGTAGTCTTTGATTTACAATCGATCAAATTAATGATCAACCCAAAAAGGGGACTTATAAGCCAAATTTGAAGTTCTAATGGTTGGGTCCTCTCCTCAGTTACATGACCAAAATTTGGGTGCTCAGCAACTTTCCCACATTTACGGCCATTTGCAGTGTCCTGTGGTCACGTGACTGCATTTTTCAATGCTTTTGCCCCAAACCAGTACTTCGAGCTTTCAGCAAAACCTCACCCTTAGCGAAGCATTGGTTTGCTTAATGACGAGGGCATTTACTTGGTGTTCGCTTTATGGTCACTTAAACTCAGAAAGGCAGGCAGGCAGGCCCCATTATGGACATACATCAAGGTCTACCCCTATTCCCTAGAAAACTTCATGGACTTGTTCATGTCGTTGCCAGACTAAATTGAAGGCATTCTTCCCCCCCCCTTTCAAAAAAGTGCCATATATCTTACTGTATATTGGTTTTGCATACATTACTCAAAAACCCAGCAGGAATGTGCAAGAAATACAAATATGTTTTGCTTCAAGCTTGAGTCCCAAATAGCTCAAAATATTTCATTTCATTCATTCCAATTTAGCCACAATTTAATGGGCAAAACTCAAAACAGTCTGAACATTCCAATGATACAAAATAGATTGGCTAAAACCCTTTTCACCATGTTTTGCACCCAAGATTACAACACTAGTGGATGGAGTGGCAATCTTTTGTGACCTCTGTCTGCCAGCCAACCTGAAGAAAGATTGACAAAAGAAAGGATTTTTTAAAAACCCTTTGAAGGCTTTGAAATATTCCAATAGGAAATAAATGATTTCAGGAAAAGATATGGTAATCTCATTGGCGCTTTTTCCATTAGTACTTCCTGATCTTAAGACTAAAATTTAACAGTTAAGTAAACGAATCTTACTCAAGAAGACCAGTGAGATTTCTTTAGTTGCTTTTTTTTTTAAATTAAAGTTTGCCCCCAACCTAATTTTCTGCTTTGTGTATGCAGATTGCAGGCAGCAGATTGAAAGACATATTTTGATATTTTTTACAGCCTAGCTGCCAAGAAAAAAACAATGCTTGACTTTTGCAGGAACAATTTATGGTACAAACTGAACAATATTGTCTTCATTTGCATCCTGCACCCGAATTTTATATAAAGCAAATATGCAATCATTCGTGTAGTTATCTCAAGCCCCCTCCCAAGCTGCCTCCCAATTCTTTTACACCTTGAAATTCCAACAAAGAATGTAAGGGAAATCAGCATACTTTTTCACAAAATACGACACGAACAACATTGGCTAGTTTCTAGACTGTGTGTGACTGTACGCACACAAAACACAGTATCACCAAACCTGCATGCAAGAACAATAAGAGTATTTAATTTAAAGATAGCAAGAGCGAATTGAAAGCTACGGTAAAGCAAATAGACTTAAATTATGAAATACAGGTAGTCCTTATGATTACAATTGAGCCCAAAATTTATGTTGCTAAGTGAGAAATTTGTTAACTGAGGTTTGTCCCATTTTATGACTTTCCTTGCCACAATTGTTAAGTGAATCACTGCAGTTATTAAAGTAGTAACAATGTGGTTAAGGGAATCTGTCTTCCCCATTGACTTTGTTTGTCAGAAGGTCACAAAAGGTGATCACACGACCTCGGGACACTGCAACAGTCATAAATAGGAATCCAGTTGTCAAGCATACAAATGTAAATCCCATGACCATGGGGATGCTGCAATGGTTGTTAAGTGTGGAAAAATGGTCATACGTCATTTTTTCAGTTCCGTTGTAACTTCGAACTGTTGTAAGTCGAGGACTACCTGTATTGTGTGTGTGAAGGGAAGCATTGTTGGAAGTCAATAAGCGTAATAATATAGGATGGAAGAAGTCATGCCTGCAAATAAATAGACTGCTTATCAAGCAGTTCAGCACTCAGGACTTCAAGACAAATATGTAAGATGTCTCTTTGGCCGTTAATATATTTATGAATAAATGTATAAGGAATGCTTACCGTAACATCAGAGAGACATTGGTTTTGTATGATTTACTCTCGTATAAATATACCATGTTGTTGGCTGAGAACACAAACAACTTGCAGCAAATGTTAGATTAAGTTGCTCTGATGTTTCTGAAGCTTAGCTTGGCGGACAAAGTTTTCATAGTAGAATGTAACTAAATGTCAAAGGTTAATAAGATTTGTCTGGGAGCCTGTAGGTTTATGTTTTTTTTTCCTAAGAAGAGGTCAAAACTGAGCTTGCCTTTGTTATATACTATTTTGGCTATTTTTCAAGAAGAAAAAGCATCTTTACAGCTATCCCAATATATTTACAAAATTGAAATTTTAAAAGGTATATAGACTCACTGTAAAACCTTTACAAAATCTACCAGACCTTTTTAGAAGAAGAGCTGTTCTTGGGAGCCACTCTGTGTGAATAAATGTTTTCATTTAAAATGATGGAGCTTTCCAAAGGACATCGTGGAAAAGTGGTGTGTACACGTGTTTTTAACATGCAGTATTAAAAAGGATTACTATATCTGTTCTTGAAAGTAGCTAAAAGATTTTTATGGCTACCCCAAGCAGATATTCAACAATTGCTTTTGCACTGTTGTTTTTTTTAAGGAGGAAAAATAATGCCTAATATTTTGAATATGAAGTTTATGTTTTTGTGAGAAAATGCTGGGTTCAGTCATTCTGATGTGATTTGTTTGATTTTTGCTTAATGAGATGTTGTTTATAACATTGTGGTTTATAACAATGGTTTCTCTTTTAGCATTGTGGGTGAACCAGGTTTTTGCTAGACCATTATGTATCTTTTTTAACATTGTTGTAGTTAAATTGGGGTGGAGTCTTAGATCCTGTTGCCAAGCAATACGGTTGTGAAGTGAACTTTACCCCATTTGACGACCTTTATTGCCACGGTTGTGAAATGAATCACTGCACTTGTTAAATGAGTGGCATGATCGTTAAGTGAATCTGGCTTCCCCATCGACTTTGCCCGTCAGAAGGTCACAAAAGGTGACCACATGACCCCGGGACACCGCAACCGTCATAAATATGAACCAGTTGCCAGGCATCTGAATTTTGATCACTTGACCGTGGGGATGCTGCAACAGTTGTAAATATAAAAAATGGTCGTGTGTGTGTGTGTATATGTGTGTGTGTGTGAGAGAGTGACACAGAGAGAGAGAGAGAGAGAGAGAGAGAGAGAGAGAGAGAGAGAGAGAGAGAGAGAGAGAGAGAATAATTTAAATTATCCTGTATTTAATTAGAGGAAAGAAACAAGTTCTTTTTAAAAGATTAACTTAAATGGAACAATTTTTAAAGATACCCACCCCATGTTTGCAACAAATTAAAGGATAAGGTGCGATATAAGGAAAAATGAAAGTGAATTGTGTAATATTGCTATTAATCTTTACTGAACTGTATTTGGTCTTTTTCTTCAAACTGGCTCTTCTTTAAACTGGTACTGGTATCTTAGTTTTTCAGATTTGTACATGAATTTTTCAGTACATACACACATACAGCGTTCAGTACGCATTCAGATGCTATTCAGAGTACCTTAGTTGTACCGAAGGAAGAAGACAATGTCCTGGATAGTCAGTTGGAGGAGCTAATGCTCTGTGTTTCTGTTACTGACATACTAGATAAGGGAGGAGGAAGAATAAACAGGATGGGTGGGGGGAGATGCTGAAGTGAGTGAAATTTGATTTTTCTCCAGGTAGCTGCTCTTTGATTTTGTTGCTGTCAGTTTTTTTTAAAGAATCTTTCTGGAGAGTTTGGTTAGGCAATGTAAATGGCATTTCTCCAGTTTATCAATGAATCGCTCTGGCCTCTTTCACTTAATTTTATATCTATTTTAATTGACAAATAGTAGAGCAGTGTACATGAATGTTGGTAATTCAGTATGTTGATTGTTTCGAATGTTCTTTGCAAGTCCCAGCCTGATAAGGGTTTTTTGACCATAGTTAATTTAAAGCCTTGAAGTGCTTGATATCTACTTTGCTTTGGACTTTTGCAATATAGTTTCCTAACCATGTGAAATCAATCAACATCAGCTGTTGGATTTAGCCGGTTTGCATCACTTCGGCAGAACTGGTAGCTAATGTTTTGTTGCCCAGGCCCAGAATGGACTTCTGGAAGCGGCATCCTCACAGGGAACTGGTTGTTCACATGTTTGAATCCCACCACTGATCAACATTGCATTGCTCATTTTGGATTCAGGTGATTATTATCTGCAAATAATTAGACAATTGAAGGCTGGATCAGGTTCAGCATGTCTAATCCATCCATATTCCCCTAGTGAGAAATGCCCAAGCAGCATATGAAAGTAATAACAACAACAAAAGGCAGCTGCTAATAGTTACTGATCCATCAATAATGCAAAAATTAGCCTACAAAATCTTTTGGAAACTGCCCAACCGAAAATGTTTTAGTCAGTTCAAGACTCTGAAGAGCACTTTCTTTGTTGAAGAAAAAACTTTTCCATGGGGGTCCAATTCTTTTGATTTCCTTTATTATTTCAGTTTTGTTTCCGGTGGTATCTGACTGGCTTGTTTCTGGTTTATTTAAAAATAAATAAATAATACAAGCCATGGCTTAATGCACAGGTGTGAAACTTGCCATGTCACGTGACGTGTCGCGACGTATTGTGACTTTTTTTGCATTGCTGGAGCTGGAGTGGGCGTGGCCTCCATATGATGCAACAGACTCAAGGGCTGGCAGTTTGACACCCCTGGCTTAATGTGTTATATTAATGCACCTGTTATCATT